AACTATCATATACTAACTACATGATGATCTAAACTACATGATGATCTAACGGTTACAAACACCAACCGGATGATTCCGGAACCATATAGCATATTTCATTATAATCTATATTAATTATCAATTAAATTTTCTTTTAAATACCATATATAATATGAAATTGCACTACTCTAGTGCCCTTATTGCCGCCCTTGTGGTCCTACCCGACTCGATTCCTGATTAGTCGGTTCCTTGTGGATTCGAAATTCGGAATGTCCCTGTACTAAAATAAAAAATAAAAACAAAAAAAAAATAAAAAAAAATAAAAATAACAGACTAGGATGGTTGTGGCGTGTGGCCAAAAGGAACTCGATTCAAGTGTCACCCGGCTCGCATTAAAACAAAGATCCGTAGGGCTACGACCAAAGGACACAATAAAAGTCTTCACTTCCAATAAAGTGAGATCCGCTTCAGCTTGTATGGATACGACGTATATAGGTACCCTCCTATAGCTTTTAGTCTACTATTTTATTTTATTGCTCTCTCTGTCTCTCTTCCTATTCGACACTGCAGCTTATACAGAAACTGGGATGGGCTCAAAACCCAGTTAGAGCCCTATTACATTCCATATTCATCATATTTACAACTCTTGCTATTTATTGCGAACATCATCACAGCTTTTTTCAACAGAACACTACTGATAGATATTCACTTTTTATATTTTAATTTCGTTGCGAAATTACCAAAAACTTTCAATAGAGAACAAAAGTAACATGGAACACTTCCGTAGATTTTTAATTAAATTTTAGCTTTTACGACAATATCTTTTATAATTGAAACGATGGGGGGGAAAAACTTACTCCAACATAAAATCAAATATTGCAACTCACAGTGTGGATATTGTGTATACAAACTTTTTCTTTGTTGGATCAGCACACACCTATGTAAATATGTGAATGTGTGTGATCCAACGGCCAAAAAGTCTATACTAACGTACCTATACAGCTAGAATCGAACTCTCCGTGAATACAAAGACCATCAACATGCACGATTTACAAAAGACAAAATTTTATTTTTGAACCGTTTACTTATGAAACGTCCTTTTTTTGTGCACTAATTTTCCTCTCATCAATATTAGTACGTTTTGTTGCAATTTATATCATTATTAGGATATTAATCCCATAAAAGGTACGATATTTAGTTTTCCAAAAATGATACATGTTGCAAACATATCGTACTATTCTATGGTAATGTCCCAAAAATTATAAAAATCCAACATATAAAATACTATTTTTATATAATGGTAAAATTAATATACCAAAAAAAAAAATTTAGACAAATAAACGAATCAAAATTGAAATTTTCTCCGATACAAAATATGTGCGCCCTGTGACGTGTTACACACTAGGGGTGAGCGTGGGTCGGTACGGTTCGGAGATTGATAAATCTCCAGAACCGTACCAAATTTTGGAGATCCCAAAATTCGATCTCCGGAACCGTACCAAAAAGTCGGTTCGGTTCGGTTCGGAGATTTTTATTTTTCAGTTCGGTTCGGTTCAGTATTCGGGACTATTAGGACGTTTCGAATCGGTATGGTTTGGTTCGGATCTTCGGAGATTTTTTATTTTTATAAATTATTTTTGAATGACTAACGAGTTATATTTTAATTTTATATGTTTTAAAAAAACAACATTCATCAATAATTCATCATATTGATGATTTTATTTTGAAATCAATTCTAGAAATAACTCTAAATTTTAGTTATTTAATTTTTATATGCTTTAATAAAACCAACATTCATTAATACTTTGTCACATTAAAGATTTTATTTTGAAATCAACTTTATATTTAACTCTAAATTTTAGTTATAACTAAATTTGCAACTAATATTGAAAATTTTAAATTCAAATAAAATTTTATATTTTTTTCTTTAAAAAAATCTTTAAATGTTAATATTATTTTAAATAATTATTTTATAATAGAAAAAATTCAATTATAGATTAAGTATTACTAAACATGAAATTTAAGTGAAGGTTAATATTTATTACTATATTATATAGAATCAAAGTTGACATAAAATATATTAATAACACATCTAATGTTATAATTCGGTTCTTAATTTTGGTTCTTCGTTTCGGTACAGTACGTGACGGTTCGGTTCGGTTCTCGGTACGAATATTTGTGAAATCTCCAGAACCGTACCAATTATTTTTTCGGTTCGGTTCGGTTCGGAGAAAGTCAAACGGTCAATGGTTATTTTTCGGTTCGGAGTGATTTCGCTTCGGTTTTCGGAACGGTTCGGAATTCTCCGAGTCTCATGCTCAGCCCTATTACACACACATGAAGTGGAAAAGAAGAGATGAAATATCACATTTTGTAAGTATTAATCAGTGTTCTAGAAGTCGCTAGGCGCCCGCTAGGCGCCCGACCAGCGCCTAGCGCCTAGAGCGCCTAGTCGGGGCCTATAAATTATAATAAATATATTATTTTTTATTTATTTTTATAATTTCACTAATGAAATTATAACTTATAATTAATAAATCTATACACCTAAGTCCCAATAATATTATTAATATTATATTATAAAAAAATACTCTAAGTCAAAATAAGTACAAAACGACAATATAACTTCTTCTCATTGTAATTTTATCAAACACATTATCTACATGTTATGTTTTGAATATTACACAACATAAGATAAATATAAAAAATTATAAAATAATAAATTATAAGATTTATTATTTAAACTAAATGCATTTAGTAAAAAAAAAAAATTGTAAAAACCGCCTAGAACCCGCCTCGGCCGCCTAGAACTCGCCTCAACCGCCTAGTCCCGCCGAAATCGCGTAGCCGCCGAGGCCGCCTAGCTCCGCCTAGGCTCGCTAGGCCCGACTAGGCGTTGCCGAGCCCGCCCGGCCGATTTTTATGGCTGATTTAGCCAAATCGTAGGCGTTGTACCGGCGCCTAACGCCTAGGTGGCCGCCTAGGCCAACTTTTCGAACACTGGTATTAATTCAGAGGTTCTCAGTGGCATCTCCACAGGGGAGATGAAATAACTTTTACATGAAATTTAAAAGGCTTTATTTAATAGGACTAACATATACATATGGATGATATAACATATGGATGATATCGGAGGTATATATATTACTTGTAAACATTTAACTTTGGTCAAAGTTAGAGAATCATTTTAGGTTTCCCCCAAGTCCTTGTGAATAACGGCATGTGCATCCAATTTCGGGTTAAATTTTATTTTTAATACATTATATTGGTCATTTTTTTAAAAAGGTCAATGATATAGGGTGTCATAAATAGTTGTCCACTAAATTGTAAGTTTAATCAAAATTCATACAAAACTAAGATAGTTTACTAAAATTGGCGATCAGTTTTTGTGCACTATCGTGGTTTCTGCATGAATTATAACTAAAGTGACAATTTAGTGGATTTTTCTTGATGACGCCCTATATGATCTTTTTGGAAAACTGGTCAACATATTGGACTTTTTTTTAAAAAAAATTTGCCTCCAATTCTGCTATATTATCAATCAACACATTAATACAAGTAAATCTAGTTAACTTTTAATTTTCAATTTCTCAAAAGTAATTATTATTATATCATTTCTGGACAACAAACTCTATGATTAATATTCTGTTGTTATTTGCTGAAAATATTATCGGTGACAATAAATCACTTCCTCAATATTAAAGGTGACTATAAACAAGGAGAGAATGCTACAATTCCATCCACGGGGTTGGTATTTTAGTCGTAGATACATATGTCGATAAATGATGTGTAGATAATTTACGATTAAGTAAAAAAAAAAGATAACGGAACTATCCCGTAACGGGACTTAAAGTCTTCCCCAATAAAACAATAGAAACATACATAATTTTTTCTGTAAAAAAAAAAAAAGAAAAAGATGAATAAACATGTACTTTATAAATATAGTTATTGTAGAAGGGCTAGAGCTTAATTTGTTTGATCCATAAATGGGCAGCTAATGTAAGCAAAGTCGGATTTGTAATGAAGTTTTTGCCCGAGTAGGGTTTGATATATATCATCTCTCTCTCTCTCTCTCTCTCTCTCTCTCTCTCTCTCTCTCTCTCTCTCTCTCTCTCTCTCTCTCTCTCTCTCTCTCTCTCTGTGAGATATGCAGTGAGGGATCTGCCACTGCCAAAATATATGAATAAATTCAGAACAATCATATTTCTTGGCCTTGTGGACCAACACAACATAAACACACACACACACACACACACAATCATAATTATAGTTCTGATATTTACTCTCTACTTTTTTCTTCTCCTCATCATGAAAACCCATTATAGTTAGGGAGAAAAATAAATAAATAAATAATTAAATAAAAAAATTAGAAATATGTGTGCACACGCACTCATGGGTGTACATGCGTGTGCGTGTTGGCACATATGTGTGTGAGAGAGAAAGAGAAGTTTATTGAGTGATGATAATCATCATATTTAAAGGCTAGCTTACATCACTGTTGTATTCCAAGAAGGGAAGTTAGGCCAAAACGACTTTCCAAGGCTTTTATTGCGCATATATCATCACACACACACACACACACACACACACACACACATATATATTAATAAATAACTCTGTAATAATATCTAACCGTTTCCTCGTGATTATTCTCCATGTCCATGGCCTCTCAAGTCAACCAAATCCTAACAAACCTTTTTTATTTTATTTATTTCTTTCTTATAATTATAATTTTCAATTTTGTTTCCCTCACATCACATGTATTTTATTGATTAATAATAAATTTATTACAAAACCCTGTACTGGATAATTTGGATTGAAATTGGAAATAGAAAATGAGAAATAATTATTATATTAATAAATTAATAATATTACAGTTGAAATACAGAGAAATGGTAGGTTTGAGATTGGGATCATGAACATTAAACATGAGCTACAGTAACACACACAATAGTGATGATGATGATGATGACAGTGATATAATATATGACAATAAAAAGGTAGCAATTAATACCATTAAATTAAAAGAGATGATGGTGGTGGTGGTGCTGTTGGGATTGGAGTAGCCGGATTTGGCGCTTGAGGAACTTGAGGTAGCGCACGGCTTCTTCAAGCATGGATGCAGTGTCCATCTTGGTTCCCCCGGGGACGAGCCTCTGCAGTATCCTCATCCTCTCGCTGATTCTCTCGCGCCGGTGCCTGGCTGCCACGCTCTGGGGGTCGTCGCTGATCCTCACGTTGCGCCGCCTGGGCCGCCGCACGCTGGCCGGGTCGATGTCCACCGGCTGCATTGCTGCCATCTTGAACATCATCTCCTTCATAGCCCCGAGCTCCTCCTCCTCTTCCTCCTCCTCCCCATCTTCTCCTCCTCCCAACACCGGAATATTACAATTATTATTATTATTACTATTATTATAATTTATGTTGTTGTTGTTGTTGGTATAGTAATTAGGGTTGGGCCATGTGTGGAAAGGGAGGTGATGCTCCGAAATGTTGTTTGAGAGGACTTGCTTCATCTCCATCATCAATACCAACTAATTGCCTTGTTTTTTTACTTCGATCTCACTTTCTTGCCCGCGATATATATATATAACTCAAACAGACTCTTTTTAATTTATGTTTATACAGAAGAGAAAGAGAAAATATGTATAGTATTTAGATATAGTGAAAATGAATGGGGAAAGAAGCTTTAATTAGTGGAGGGGTTGACAACCCATCTATCTTTCTATCTTTCTATGATTGCAGGCTTTGCAGCTTTTCAAGGCTTTGGTGGTGCATTTAAACAAAGCTCTTCTAGAGAGAGAGAGAGAGGGGAGAGAGAGAGAAACAGAGAAAAGAGTACGTAATTCCAAAACCAGTTTAGTCTACTTATTATTATTATATTGATAAAATAAAAGTAGTTTAGTCTACTTATTATTATTATATTGATAAAATAAAAGGGGATTGGATCGGAATTCTTAAAACCCAAGTGGGGACCACATCGCGGTTATATATAAATGTAGCATATGAAAATGACCTTTCATCTTTTATCACCCCACCCCAGATTTTGTATTGCTAAACAACATTTCTAGGGCTTCGTTTATATATCCTAAACACACCTATGCACGCACCCATGCCATCAACACTATTAATTATTATGTTTTTAATCAGATTGTTATATAACTTGTACACACCTTTTTCACCTTATTTCTATTAGATTTCAGATCAGAGAACTTTTCCTATGTTTGATCCTCTAGAATAGATTCATCCATCTTATTAACTTATAAAATACATTTATAACATGATGATTGATTATAATCAAATACTGACTAATAAAAATTTTTTTACCATGAATATTAACGCATTACATCAGTGTTCAGTATTAGTAAATTAAGAAATATAAATTATCGCAACTTGTTGTACTGTCGGTTGAACACTAAACTTGTGAGCAGGAAGCAATCTTCCACCGTCATGTTTTAAGGTCACTACTTATACAATCTCTATCTCTATATCTGGCTATATATATTTTTTATATATATATAATTGAAGGTAAAGTCTTTAGTAAACTCTGATAAGCTATTGCACTTCGAACCGGCTCTCACTGACCTTGAACCGCTTCAGCTCTCCAAAGACCTGCAAAGACGCCGGGAAGTGTCTCAGCGGTAAACCTCCGACGCTCAAGTTAGTTGAGTATCAATAAAAGTTCTGTATAGATTTAGGGTTTGTAAAGTGTGATTAAACCTACCATCCCTCCAGGGGAAAAAATCAAAATTAGTCCCACGGGTAAAGAGGGGTGACATTTTGGTCCCGATGGAATGCAGGAAATATGAATAGTTCCACAACTTTTAAAATGATCAAAAGTATGACTGTTTCGCCGGATTTACTATTTCCGGCCCGGAACGTCAAGTGGCGCACACGTGACTTATTTTTTTACATGCTGGCAACCGACATAGATAAGGAAAAATTTAAAACTAGTCCCACAAGTATAGGGAGGTGACATTTTTTGTCCCGATGGAATGCAAAAAATTCAAAACTAGTCCCACAACTTGTAAAAAAATATGAACACGCCGGATGCCAGCGTGTAAAAAAATAAGCCATGTGTGCGCCACGTGACGTTCCGGGCCGAAAATAGTAAATCCGGCGAAAAGGTCCTACTATTGATCATTTTTTAAAAGTTGTTGGACTATTCATATTTTCTGTATTCCGTCGGGACCAAAATTGTCACCCCATATACATGTGGGACTAGTTTTGAAGTTTTCCTATCCCTCTAGCTTTACCTATTTATGAGTATTAGTTTAGCTTTCTTCCCACGCTTTAATCCTTGCCCGTTATTGCCCGTTAGATCATCTAATCCCCTTTTTATCCTGACACTACACGTATCCCTCATACACTGCTCCTCAAAATCACCTCATTCAATAATATATAAAAAGATCAACTTTGAAGGGGATTAGAGATAACCGAGTTACCTGACAACTCATCGAGCTAAAAGGCCTAGCTACCCGTTAGTGTTTAGTAGATTTTTGGGCAAGAGATAACCGAGTTACCCGACTCGGTCGTTCTCAAAAGAAAGATGGTTCGGAGCTTTACTAATTGATTGTCCCATTCACAAAAAGAGAAAATAAATTTTTAAAATCCTAATCACTGGCTTGGAGATTGATTAACACTAAACGAGCAAGCAAGAAACTAAGATCAATATCAAATCACGAGCAAATAGCAAAACTAGACCGTCGGAGTCTCATGCCATCAACACAACGAGATGATAATCAACGACAAAGAGGAATAAACGAGCTATGAGCACTAGATCATTAACCCTAACCTTCTAACCCTAAGTAATTAAGCCCTAATCGGGTCTTAATCCTTCAACGAGATCGACAAGCAATTAATCCCTATAACTACTCAAGCAAGCAATCAAGTCTCAACTTTCCCTCCATCATCAATCATGCTCAAATTTACCCTAATAAACATTATAAGTAAGTACGAGGCAAAAATCGAAGTAAAGAGCTTTAAAACAAAATACTCATTCTTCTATTGCGTAGACAATGAAAAACAGAGTCAAAAGCTCGAAACTTGAAAGAAACCAAAGTCGCCGGAAAACCTCCCGGAAAATGACATAAACTCCTTAGTCTAGAGAACAAAATATAACATAAGCTAAGTTCCCACTAGGGAAAAATGAAATAATGAGTGTTGGATGTTCAAAATGCAAAGGAAGAAAAATATTTATACTCCCACTCAAAACACACACTAAAACATGCAAATTAAATGGGACACTCTCGATCTCTCTAAAAAATCTGCGAGGTCGTAGGTGATGGCAGCACGGCGTGCACGGGCGCGACACTCTCAGTTCGCAGACGGATCCACGAGGGCGCGGGCATGCGGTGTGCGGGCGTGCGTGGGCTACGGGCGTGATGACGCGTGTGCACTGCCATCCGGCGTGCCGCGCACGCCAATGCTCCCTGCGCCGGTCCCGCGCGCGTGGCTGTCCACCTTTCCGCATGCCTCGAGGCATGAGGCCTCGCAGGCCTAGCGCGCGCGTGCTTCCCCACTACGCGACATCTTCGCACCTTCGCCCGCTGTGGCCATCGCCACACGTCCCCGCCTCTGGCGCCCGCTCGCCCACCTCGCGCGCCAGTCGCACGTGAATCGTCTTTGCCCGTTAGGTGGCCATTCTCGCGCGTCTCAAGCGCGTCCTGCTCAAGGGCGTGCACCTCAGTTGTCCTTCGCGCTAGCCTCTTTCGTGCGTGATAGGCGCGACTTGCGGCATTCTTTAGCTGCCTAGCCGCATCATTCTCGTCCCCTTCAAGTGTTTCTTTGTCCTCAAGGGCGAAATTCGAGAATTGATCGCGCATCTCATCAAGGTCCTCCCATGTGGCTTCTTCTGGTGGTAGCTCTTCCCATTCGACTAAAACTTCCCAACGATAGCGACCTGCTTTCCTCATTTGGCGATACTCAATCGCTCGACTTGGTCGCACTAAGACCCTTCCATCAGTCGTGGTCGCTGGTAGCTCCTTGCACCACTTGTGTGCTTCTCCTAAACTTATCTTGAGCTGAGAGACATGTATGATTGATGGATACACGAACTCTCCGGTAGCTCTAGGCGATAAGCTACTTGGCCTATGCGCTTCAGAATCTGATAAAACCCATAATAGCGAACCCCTAACTTAGTGGCCGCCCTTTGCGCGGTCGTGCGCTGCCTGAATGGTCGCAGCTTCAAATAGACAAATTCGCCCGGCGCAAAATTATCCTGTCGCTGTTTTCCATCTATGAAGGCCTTTATGCGGTTGACCGAACCCTCGAGATTTCTTCAACTCTCGCAACATCAAATCTCTCTCCTCAAGTTCTTGACCTACCTCGTCATTGATTGCGCCACCTTCTGAATAATTGATGAGCGTCGGAGGTTTACGCCCATATACTAACTCGAATGGTGTAATCTTGGTCGAACCATGGTACGTTGTGTTGTACCAATACTCTGCTCATGGTAGAAAATTTTCCCACTTCTTTGGAAATTGATGGACATAGCACCTCAAATACTGCTCAAGAGTTCGGTTAGTTACCTTGGTTTGTCCATCTATCGTGGGTGATATGCTAAGCTCATTGATAGCTTGGTCCCTTGTAGCTTGAAGAATTCGGACCAAAAGCTGCTCATAAAGATCGGATCTCGATCAGAAATAATTGATCGCGGTGCTCCATGCAACTTCATAACATACTCAACGAATAGCTTGCGATAGATTTTGCTGTATGATCATCTCTCGCAATTGCCCACTGTCGGGAACAAATACTCGGCCTCGATGGAGTAGAAGACTGTTGTGCTGCTCATAATCGGCGACGGCTGCGTCACCCGCCTCGATTCCCTGTCGCAGTTCCTTGCATTGTGGATCTTCCTCCTAGGCTTTCCGAACTTCCTCCCAAACAGCCCATGTTGGCTCGGTGATAGCCTCAAGCTCGGCTACATCTGTTCGTCGGGATAATGCGTCGGCCACGACATTCTGTCGACCCGACTGGTAGACTATCTCGAAGTTGAAACCTATGATCTTCGAGACAAACTTTTGCTGCTCGGACGTCATAATCCTTTGCTCGAGTAGGTGCTTAAGCGGCTGCTGGTCGGTCACAATCCGAAAACGTCGCCCCAAGAGATAGGGCCTCCAGCATCTCACAGCTTCGACAACTGCTAGCATCTCTTTCACGCACACAGATAGCCCCCGTGAAGTTGTGCCCAGTGCTTTGCTGAGATAGGCCAGTGGTCGTCCTTCCTGCACTAGCACAACTCCTATTCTTATGTGGCTTGCATCTGTATGTACCTCGAATAAGACATCAAACCTTGGCATTGCGAGCACCGGCATCGTGGTCATTGCGCCCTTCAGCTTCTCGAATGCTTCCTCACTAGCTTTGGTCCACTTGAACCCGTCCTTCTTGGTCACTCGGTCAATGGCTTGGCGATGGGCCCATAGTCCTTCATAAATTTCAGGTAGTATTTGGTGAGCCCTAGGAATCCCCTTAGCTGCGTGAGACTCGTTGCTTAGGCCAGTCGACCATAGCCTCGATTTTT